TTTGGATGTTCAGGCTTTGGCCAATCAGTTCGTGAGGTTGGATGTTTCTGAGCCCAGTCGTGTATTAGCTTGCACAGTCGCTTGTTCTTCTTTATTGGAGCGTATCCGAGATCGGCAGTATGATGATCCTCAATTGTGTGTCCTTAGAGACACGGTGCAGCACGATGGTGCCAAGCAGGTTACATTAGGAGATGATGGGGTTTTGAGGCTACAGGGTCCAGTTTGTATGCCTAATGTGGATGGACTCCGAGAGTTGATTTTAGAGGAGGCCCATAGTTTCCGGTACTCTATTCATCCGGGCGTCACTAAAATGTATTAGGATTTGCGGCAGCATTATTGGTGGATGAGGATGAAGAAGGATATATTGCATATGTGGCTCGGTGTTTGAATTGTCAGAAGGTAAAGTATGAGCATTAGAGGCCTGGTGGTTTGTTCCAGAAGATTGAGATTCCTGAGTGGAAGTGGGAGCGTATCACTATAGACTTAATTGTTGGACTCCCACGAACTCAGAGGAAGTTCAATGCAGTGTGGGTTATTGGCCTGTTTGAGATTCTTGATCGAGTGGGAGAGATGGCTTACAACTTGTGTTGCTACCGAGTTTATCAGCCGTGCATTCCGTGTTTCATGTGCCCATGCTTCGAAAGTATCACGGCGATCCATCCCTCGTGTTAGACTTCAGCACTGCCCAGTTGGACAAGGACTAGTCATATGAGGAGGAGCCGGTAGCTATTCTAGACCGGCAGGTTCGTCAGTTGAGATCGAAGAGTTTCCCTTCTGTTCGTGTTCAGTGGAGAGGTCTGCCTGTTGAGGCATCGACCTGGGAGTCCAAGTCTGATATGCGCAGCCGTTATCCTCATCTTTTCCACGACTCAGGTACTTCTTTCTTATGTCCGTTCGAGGACGAACGATTATTTTAGAGGTGGATGATGTAATGACCCAAAAGGTCATCACTTGATTTATGAGTAAATTTTGTGTTTCGAGGCCTTAGAAGCCTCGTTTTTCCTCACATCGATTTACGTGCACAGTCCGAGCCTATATCCGGAACACTTTTATGTGGAAATGTGATGAAAATATTAATTTGGCCTTTAAAATTTTATTTAAGTTGACTTCGGTCAACATTTTGGATAAACAGACCTGGACCTGTGATTTGACGGTCCCAGAGGGTCCGTAGGAAAATATAGGATTTGGGCGTATGCCAGGAATTGAATTCCGAGGTCCCGAGTCTGAGAAATAAATTTTTGAAGAAAATTGTTTAACTGAAATTTTAAGAGTTTTTGGAAATTTGAATGGTTTTGAAATTGATGGTATCGGGCCCGTATCTTGGTTCTGAAGCCCGTTACAGGTCTTATATGGCGTTTAGATTGAGACTATAAAATTTGGTAAGAAACGGACTTGAAATGACGTGAATCGGACCCTCGGTTGTGAAATTTGAAACTTAAGTGTTCTTGAAAATTTTCTTTGATTTTGCTGCTAAATTCATTGTTAAAGCTATTAATTTGGCAATTTGATTGCACGAGTAAGCCCATATGATGTTTTTGAGTTAGTATGCATGTTTGGTTTGGAGCTCCGAGGGCTCGGGTGAGTTTCGGATAGGTTTCGGAAGGTTTTTAAACTTAGGAAAGTTGTAGGTTTTTAGCTTATGGTGTTCTGAAGTTTTGTTCTTCGCGTTCGCGGAAGGACTCTCGCGAACGCGAAGGGTAAGTCAGGCTAAAGGAATTTTACTTCTACGCGAACGTGAGAAACAGGTCGTGAACGCGAAGCTTTGGGGGTGCTACCCTTCGCGAACGTAGACCTGCTATCGCGAATGCGAAGGCCTTTAGGCTGGGGCAAGGGGAAGGAAATTTTGTTCTACGCGAACGCGGCCACTGGCCTACGAACGCAAAGGCTTGAGGAGTCAAAGCTCCGCGAACGCGAGGCGCTAAACGCGAACGCGGAGGCTAATGGGCCTGACCCTTCGCGAACGCGACAGGCCCTTCTCGAACGCGAAGAAGGCTTGTCCAGTGAATTAAAAATGGTAGCAAATCGGGATTTAGTTCAAAACTAGAGAGCATTGAGGCGATTTTTAAAGAACAAGTTCTTCCCCAAAGCATTGGTATATGTTTTTAAACCTTTTTCTTTCGATTTCCCATTACATTTCATCAATTTTCATTCAAAAATCTAGGGTTTTTATGGTAGAAATTAGGAATTTGGGTAGAGTTAGGGCTTTTTGATTAATTGGAATTTAGACCTCGTTTTGGGGTCGGGTTTCGAAACTAATTGCATATTCAGGCTTGTGGGTGAATAGGTGATCGGGTTTTGGTCCGAACCTTGAGTTTTTACCAAACGGGCTCGGGGCCGATTTTTGACTTTTTGGGAAAAAATGATAGAAAACCTATAAATAAGCATTGGGTATGAATTCTTTAGGATTTATTGATGTTGTTAAATTAATTTGGACTATATACGAGTTATTTGGAGGCGAATTACAAAGTAAAAGCGGTGTTTGAGGCTTGAGTTGGTCGTGGAAGTTTGAGGTAAGTGTTTGGTCTAACCTTAGCTTGAGGGGTTAGGAGTTGAGTCTTATTTACTATGTGATAATTGTGGAGTACGACGTATAGGCATGATGATGAGTATCTATACGTCGGTGTCGAGCATGCCCGTGAGTCTTATATTGTATTTGTTGTGACTCCGTTGTGGTTTATTCGTGCTTTATATGAGAGTTATCATTATTGTTCCCTTGCCGGGATGTTGTTGTGATATTACTGTTCCCTTGCCAGGATGTTGTTATCATATTATTGTTCCCTTGACGGGATGTTGTTGTTATATTATTGTTCCCTTGCCGGGATGTTGTTGTTATATTATTGTTCCCTTGCCGGGATTCTTTTATGATTGGTGTTGATATATGAAATGGGAGCGGGTTGCACGCCTGCAATGGTACTATATGAAATGGGAGCGGATTGGACGCCTGCAACGGTACTATATGACATGGGAGCGGGGTTGCACGCCTGCAATGGTACTATATGAAATGGGAGCGGATTGGACGCCTGCAACGGTACTATATATAATAGTAGCGGGTTGCATGCCTGCAACGGTACTATATGACATGGGAGCGGGGTTGCACGCCTGCAATGGTACTATATGAAATGGGAGCGGGTTGCACGCCTGCAACAGTATTACATGTGTACTTCTTATTTCCTTATCTTTTGCTAGTAATTGATTTATGGTGTTCCTTACATTTCTTTACTGTTATTCTGTTGTTATCTCTTACTCCCCGCAGCATGTTTCCCCCGTCCAACTTTAGCTGTAATTATCTGCTTTTTATTTTCGTTGTATATGATTTAACTGCACAGGTTTATTTGGTAGCCTGGTCCTAGCCTCGTCACTACTTCGCCGAGGTTAGGCTAGGCACTTACCAGCACTTGGGGTCAGTTGTGCTGATACTACACTCTGCACTCTGTGCTGATACTGATACCGGAGCGTTTGGACCGCAGTGAGGGTATTGTATTCAGTCCCCTCAGGCGACCCGAGGTAGTCCTGCAGACGTCTGCGGGCCTTGGCGTCTCCTTATATCATTTCTCTTTCTGTTTTTACTTATTCAGAGACAGATTTGTGTATTTCCATTCAGACCTTATTTATAGTATTCTTAGATAGTCCGTGACTTGTGACACCAAATTCTGGGTAGTATTGTATTTCAGATTATGTAGCAAATGTTAGGTTAATTATTAAGTTTTCGTCTTCCGCATGTCTGGTTATTTGGTTTATTCCACTGCTTAAATCACTTATTACTTTGAATTATTGAACATGCTTAATAAAAAGGGTAATGAATTTATAATACTCGGTTTGCCTAGCTTTCACGAGTATGCGTCATCACGACTCCTGAGGGTGAAAAATTTGGGTCGTGACATCGTTAGCCTCGACAAAAAAACTATATATAAATTTTATATATATCTATAGATACAGGGAAGACCCGTTAAATATTTTAGGCGACCCCCTAAAAGCACAAAAATTGGATAGAGGCACTGGTTTGTAGGTAGGGGTGTCAAATGGACGGGTTGGGCTAATTTTGGGCGGGTCAAAATGGGCTAAGTCAATAAATAGAGGGGCCAATTGACTCGCTCAAAAGTACCTTGGAATGAGATGGGTTGGGTCAAGTTGACCTAAATTTTGGGTCATAGCCGAACCCGCTCAACCTGTCCAACTCTTACCAAACTTTAATTAACGTGTATTATTTTCCTATGTATTGTTTAATTATCAAATAAGACTTTTTTTCTTTTGTTATGGTCACATATAACATATCAAACATAAAAAATTATTTTAAAGATATTTTAGCAAAGTTACTCGTAGATTAATTTGGGCTAAAAATCAACCCAACTTTATATGGGTTGAAATGGGTTGGATTAATATGGGCTGAGTTTAATAAATAGACGAGTCAATGACCATCCCAACCTTGGGCGGGTTTGGCGAGTCAAATGGGTTTGGGCTCAAATTATCACCCTTATTTGTAAGAGTGCTTAAGTACCTACACTCTCTTGATAACCCAATTTCCAATCTGGGCTCCTACAACTTATATTTTTTTTATTTTATCTTTATAGTGGTGTCCCGCGATACTCAAATCCTGGGTCTACCTATGAGTTCAATTGAATCCATAACTTTTGACATCAAATATGAATTTATCTGTAAAAACTTATTAAAATCTTAACAAGTACTATTAGAGTTAAGCCTATTGTTTTAATAGTACAATAAGTTAAGTGCTAAAAATCTTAAAAGGTGAACCTTTAAATTTAAATTTTGGATCCGTCTTTGGATGGCAATACCAGTTGCTAGTACTTGACCATGCATTATTAAATGCTTAACATATTATTTTGACAAAAATTAGTTGATCTGCCTCTGTATTAGCTAAACTCGCTGACTAAGGTTGCCTATTGCGAAACAACTCTGTCATTTGCAAGAATATCTTCATTTATACAACTTTTACAATCAATACTTAGGCACAAAAGTTGTGTGTGAGCGAGTTCTTGTATAAATGTATTATGATTGAGAGTAATCTGGCCTGGTACTTGTCCCAAAACTGATAACATCTGAACAAAAAACAAAATTCTCTTTCAAAAACAGATATAGAACTTGAAGATGATGATCTATTCTCTTGAGTTTTGGTATATGTAACTTTAATACAAGATCAAACACAACGGATACATATGAATAGAGTACAATTTAGTGCTATCTCCAGTAATGAAGATCAAGTAAGAATTAGAAATGTTTGAAACACAAAGAGGAAGAAAGAATTTGATTATGAAGTCTGGCATGTAGTGAAATGTTCTCGTCCGATGAAAACACAAGTTCAAATCCAGTTGAAACCTTACTTAATTCTTGGGTTTTTTTCACTTTTAGTCCGCGCTAGAAATTATGCACATTCGGTAGCCAAAAAGTGTATAAAATTTGTATAATTTATATATATATACAAAAAACAAATATATATTTTTTGGCTATTTTTTTTAGAACTACTATACTGTGTCATTCCATGGACGAATCGACCCATTTCAATTCTTTGATTCACCAAGCCCTCATATTATATTGTCCACGCTTCAGTTGGCATGCCTGAGCATGCAGGGGTGTTGAGTCTCCCGCATCTAGAGCCGTTAATATGGGCTTCGCCCGTCGGGCCAGCCAAGCTCAGCCCGTGATTTAGCAGGGTTGGGCTAGAATTTTTGGAACCCATTTAAAAACGAGACTTTTAAGCCCAGCCCGAGTAAGCCAGTGGCCCGTGAGGCTTGACTAAGGCCGGGCTGGGCCGGCACGTGGGCCTAATAAAAATACGTATTTAAAATATAAAAAGGATATGACACAAAAAATAACAAGAAGAGTATCCCAAGCTTAAAGTTTATTAAACTCATCATATTAAAAGATCAAAGTCTTAAAACATTAATTACTTTTAAAAATTTAATTATTCTTAATATTTAACTAATTAATATTGCATACGAATTATAGATGTAGATGAAAGTGAAGATGTTAAGACAACCTTCTCACAAGCGGACTTAAATGTGTTTGATGAAGATGATGTGTTGGATATCTCATAAGCGTCATAGACGTTCTCTTGAAAAGTTTGTTTTGAAATTTGATTTTTAGCGAATGAAATATAGTTTTGTCTTTTATTTTTTTTAGTGTTTATTGTGATATATTAGAACCATATAAAAAGTTATTTTAAAATATTTATCTTTTTTTAAGCATTTATTAACTTTTATTATGATATATTAGAACCGATAAGACTTTTTTAACTTTTAAATATTTATCTTTTTTAGTTTAGAAAAAAACATAAAATTATATTTTAAAAAATAATGGGTCAGCCAGTGGGGGCCCGTAGCCCACATAAGGCTAGGATGGGCTGACCATTAAAAGGCCTATCAAAATGGTGGGCTAGCCCAGCCCAACTCGTCAATTGCTAAAGCCCACGCGGGCTGGACTGAGTTAGCCCAGCCCCGCCATATTGACAGCTCTACCCGCATCGGCTAAGGGATAGGGGACTTGATCTCCTTATATGGCTTGGCAATCCTCACCTCATGAGCTAGCTTTTGAGATTGAGTTAGGGCCAAAGTCTATTTAAGATGCTCAACTATGGAATTTTTCCGATATTATCACAAAATATTCACTTTAAAAATAAAATATATGGTTTATTAAAAAAAAAATTGATTAAAAATATTTGGGCTGGTCATGATACTTCTCAAAAATTGTGGTTAAATCTGAAGAAGACCAATGAACTATTCCATTAAAAAACTCAAAGGAAATTGAAGGATAATTCATATGCAATTTATAAAGCTTACTACATTGTTCTAATTAAGAAGATAAGAAGACGTACTTGAAATGGATTGTCACATACGAGGCAAATTCGTAGATTTAGAATGTAACTTTGTTATATGTGTATATTTCAAATTTTGTTGGCATACAACAATGACCTCAGTTGAACTCATAAAACCCATCCTAAATCCCTTTCTACGCGTAGCTTTATGGCATTGCAACTATAAATCCCTTTTAAATTTTGTGGGTCAAAACATATTGCAACTCGTTTGAAAATTAAGGAAATAATTTTAAGCTTTATGGTATATATATTAGCTTTAAAATGTCAAAATTCTCCAACTATATTATTAGAATAATGTCACTTCCGTACGTCAACAATGTGTGTATCTATACTCTATATCTACGTGTATAAATATTACAAATTCGAATAAAGTGTAAATTATGTACTAGTAATATTTTTTTCTGGCAATTTCTAAATCTGTAATTTTGATTTAGGCTGTGTGAAAAGGTTCTGAATCTATCTCATGTCTCTATAAAAATCAAATTTGCATAAGAGAAGAAAAAAATATTACAGGTACTGAAGTTTTACTGTGCTTTGATTCTGAATTTACATAAGAGAATAAATATATTTGTGGTTTGTCTTGTAATTTGTATCATCCACTTAAGACATATATAAACATTTCTTTTCATTCTAATTTTTTGCATTATTATTTGATAATTATACATATTTGTCATGCCATCAACGTGGCTGGTGCAGATTCTAGTTCCCACCAAGTTTAAATTATCAAATAGTCATATTCCCTAATTTTATGCATAATTCCTACTTTGTAAATCATTTACTAACTCCAACATTAGTGGATTAATATTTTAAACAATACACAAATTGACAACAGGCCGGGTTGAAGCATATTTTGTTATACTGTTGACATTAATATTGCATCTTTCATCCCCATGGACATAATCACTTCTCTTCACAATTATATATATGATCATTAAAAGCTCTGAAATTCTTTCTCAAGCAAGGAGAAGAACAGATCAAAGCATAAATAATTTAACGCTATTGTTAGAATCAGAAAAATGAACAAAATTAGTTACCTGTCAATGCTGGGAAAAAGTGCTCCGCACACCGCAAATGCTTTGGCACAGCAAATCGTACATATAATAATTAAGGTTGAGTGGTCATGATGGGGAAGATGGGCACATGAAGAACTAACTCATTTAACACGTGGGCTCGTTTGGTACGAGGGATAAGGGATAATTAATTTTGGAATTAAATTTGAGATGAATTTATTCATATTGATTGAGATAAAATTATGGTATAACTAATCCGGGGATCAATTATCTCAAGATTGAAGTTTTTTTTTATGGAAGGATAGGATAACAATCCCGAGATAATTAATCCTGAGATAATTTGTTTCCCAACCAAACTACCAGGTGAATCACACACATAGCGAGTTACACTATTCTCCTTTTTGGGGTAGCATATAGTACTCCTAGTATTTATTAGGTAGTAGGTTAACCCCATAAAACTTGTGGAACCGACTAACAAACAGAGGCGGATCTAGGACAAATCACGTGAGTTCAACTTAGCCTTGTTTTCGACTCGAACAATGTATGCATATGCGAAATTTTTTAAAATGCACACATATATATAATAAGATCATACTTATTCCGAACTCATAAACTCATAAAGCTAGACTCTAACTTTGTTAACGGACTGTAATGCATGAGTTAGTAAAGCACGTACCCTGCTTCTCCATCTTGTTCAACACTCACCTTCTCATGATTCCACATTCTGAGAGGCTGCATCTTTTTCCTAAGGGTTTATATATTTGAAACTTTGGAAACGTGGGGAAGGAGTTCAACTCAAGCAAAGGAAGTTTGTTCTGATATTTCAGATGTAGTTGTTGTGCTCTCACTTACATCATATATTTATAGCAAAAGAAGAAAGTTGTGGACTGATGTCTGAAAGTTTTGCTTGGTACTATAGGTGTAGAGAAGGAACTAAGGGTTCGTCTGGTATGAGAGATAAAAAATAATTAATCCTGAAATTAAATTTGAGATGAGTTTATCCCATATTTAGTTGGGATAAAATTGTAATATAACTAATCTCGGGAATATAGTATTTTTTAATACCTGTGAGAGGGTGAGATAACAAATTTCGGAATAATTAATTATGAAATAACTTGTTTCCTAATCTAATCAAACTACCGATAACAACATTACTTGAAAGTGGGACCTTTAAATAATTGGAATGCAAGAAAATTGTCGGTCTAAATAACATAGGACCACTAGCTGGTAAGGTGGCAAAATATTGTTACAGTAGTAGACTAATAGTAATATTTACTCTTCCATAATGATATTATGCAGTACTTAATTAATTGCAATTAGTAAAATTAATCAAGTGGAGACTGGTTATCCAGGTTTGAATTAATAGATAAATTAAGATAATAAAAAAATTCACCTAAACTTCTACCAAAAGGGCTTTTTCCAAAAAAAAAAATCTGTTTTCTTTTTTGGCCTTTGTCTTTTGAGGGAGAGGGGTGGGTGTAGGCATTTGGTTCATTAAGTTGAAGAAGAGATTTTGCATAAAAAAAAAACCGGTCAGATGTTTGGAGGCCAACCAAACATTTTTTTTGATTTTTCATCCGATATTCGGTACCCATATTGGGGCCCGACTAATCCGGATTCGCGTCGGAAAATCCCACATTGGGAGATAAAGCGCTCCCTAATAAAGGCGACTTCATACCCAGGGGATCGAACTTGAGACCTCTGGTTAAGGATGAAGGAGTACTTATCACTCCACCACAACCCTTGTTGGTATGACAAACCATACATCTTGTACTTTTGATAGGTAAGTCCTAAATATTTAAGTCAATCAAACATGAAAAAATTAGATTAGTACCAAACACACCCTTAATATATAAAAGATTGAAGTACGTACTTTATGACTATCCTGGACAGAGGTGATTATAACCTTCCAAATTGCTACTGAATTTTAATATCAGCACCTGTATATAAATGTTATTACTCCTTTAGTTTTCTTTGACTAAAAGGAAACAAACAAGCCTATTTCACGGCTTTTCCCTCATAAAGAATGATACAATACTATAATTAAAGAATGTCGAGCAAGAGGCGGACCCATGAATTTAATACGACGGGGCACAATTGTATACGGTAAAATCGGAGGGTCCAATTTTTCATCGTTACGATGTCTCGAAGGCTCAAAACCACGGTCGAGTTTCATCCCTCGAGGCCACCGACGCTCGACCTCGGAGCAGTTCGGACCGGCGGTTACTGAGAGAAAGCGGGGAGTTCCCAAGGCGTGTAGCTAGAGCCGACAAAGTCTGTCAGGCTAGTTGTATACGGTAGAAATCGGCGGTTCGATTTTACAATCATCGAGGCATCCCGAGGGTTTTCAGTGGTCAACTCCGAGGGTTCTCGGTGATCGACTTCGAGGCAATGTAACTTAGTGGTCTCGACGGATCAAGTTGAAATTCCCAAGGCATGTACATACAACTGGCCAAGTCTAGTGGACTAGTCAGAAAAGCGAATCAAGGCATTAAATGGCTGTATCGGCCCCATATCTTTGTATCGGCCAACACTATCAGGTCGAGGGCGGTAGAGCAGCTCGAACTGCTTGACCAAATTGTACCCGCCTCTCGAGTCCTCAACGGATTCAACATTGCGAGCGAAACAACGAAAGGGGAAATCACCCTCCCAGTCAACGTGGCCGGCACAACCCAAAATACCAAATTCTATGTCATCGAAGGAGACATGAGGTACAACGCCTTGCTCGGAAGTCCATGGATACACTGCATGAGAGCAGTACCATCCACCCTCCATCAAATGATGAAATTCCCGATAAAGGATGGGATTAAGACCGTCTACGGGGAACACCATGCAGCGAGAGAAATGTTTGCGGTGCACGATGTGGCCCCGACACCGGTACCTCCACCTTCGAAGGAGCCGAAGGATAAGCAAATAGTAAAATAGCGATAATAAGCTACACTCTCGGCTATCCCCCACTAAACAAAGCAGGGGACCGTACCGCTTCCTCGTCACAAGCGGCTGAAACATATCAGGGCTCGAAACATCGCCGGCACATTCTACACTAAGGTATGACTGTCTCCTTTCCCTTTCAATTACATTCTACACTAACCTGAGAGGTATCCGATCGAAACGGCCAAAGCACTCTCCAACTCGAATGCCTTAGGTTTCAAAAGCATGTGTTGCACTCTTTTCCTTCGATCGGGTTTTTATCCTAAGGAGGGTTTTACCGGCAAGGTTTTTAACGAGGAAACATCCATATGCTACCTAAGGAAGACTCAATAAGTATTCAAGGCTTCTTTTGCAATCAACCTCGAATACTGGGGGGGGCATCCCCCCGGAAGGTCACCTACTCGGAGAAGCCAAGATACGCCAAATAGGGTCTCGATAGGAAAATAATATACAGGGCCAAACGGTCAAACGAACCGTGTCCGTATAGAACAACTGAGCCCTTAAAAGCAAAATCATGTATACTTGTACCAAGTAATCAAAGAATACTTCCCAAAAGCATTTTGCATTTCAAGAAAGCTCGATATTTTTTACAAAAAATGGCCCCAGAGCCAAAAAAACGTCCCGAATACTCGGGGACTGGCGTCGACAACTCGAAACAATGCGACCCCCGGGTCGGAACTCCTAACTCGTAAGCCCTCAATGAGTTAACATCAAGATCACAAAATGGCCCCTAAGAAAAAAATGTCCCGAACACTCGGGGACTGGCGTAAAAAACTCAAGGCCGCGTGACCTCCGGGTCGGGAACTCCGAAATCATAAGCCCTCAATGAGGCAATACCAAGTTTACAAGTAACGGCTCCCGAGTCGAGAAATCCTCGACGACTCGGGGACTACCGTCAATCGCCATCTCCATCGACTTATCAAAACCCGAGGTCGTAAAACCACATGCGGGCAGCCTCGGTCTCGTAAGACCTATATAAGGAAACAACAATATCTGTAAGACCTCAAGCAAGGCATGAACCACATTTGTACCAAGTGAAAAATATCTGTAAGACCTCAAGCAAGGCATGAACCATACTTGTACCAAGTATCCAAAACTATAAAACCTCAAAGGCATGTAAAACTTGTAAGACCCTTACTAAAGGCATAAACCCGATCTCAAAGTTAAGGCTATATATCGAACTTGTAAGACCCCTAAAAAGGCATACCCTCGATATAGATGCTAAAACTATTTCATTCGGTACTAAAAGGCTCCGGCCAAACACAAATGACTATGGTCACAAGGTTGTACCAGCCAAACTAATGTGACTCGGGGACACCCGACTGTCGCTATAAAATCACAGGCCTTCAATTAATTCGAATATACTTCAAAAGGAACCGGTTAAATAGGCTACTCTCGACATAGACACAAGAGCTTCGACCATGTCAGCTCCTAAATACAGGCTTCGAGATACTCAGCCACCGAGCCAAACCTCCCGAGGTGCTCGATCATCACTATATAACGACTCACAATCAAGGTTTTTATTGAACCGTCGAAGAGTCAGGCAAAAATTATTTCAAAAAGTCCTTAACGAGGGAAAAATAAAACCTATAAAAGGTCACACCGGTCCAATGCGTAAGAGCCACTATTGCCAGCACATACAAAAGGTCGTACCGACCTAATGCGTAAGATCCACTGTCGCCAGCACATACAAAAGGTCGTACCGACCCAATGCGTAAGATCCTAAGAGCCAACTCTAAATTTAAAAACTTGAGGGTCGAATGAGCTCGAGTCGAAACCCAATTTGAAGACTGAACTCAAAACAGTTAACTAAATATGCTTAAGAGCAAAAGCGTAAGAGCCATTATCGTCAGCCCATACACAAGGTCGTACCGACCCAACGCGTAAGAGCCTAAGGGCCAACTTGAAACTTAAAAACTTGAGGGTCGAATGAGCTCGAGTAGATACCCGACTCGGAGACTGAACCCAAAATAGTTGACCAAACATGCCTAAGAGCGCAAGCGTAAGAGCTCGAATGCCGACTTATACTTAAAGGTCGCATCGACCAAGCGTGTAAGGGCCTACGGGCCAGCCTAATGAGCCCCAGGGCCATATCACAAATCTAAGGATTCCTTCTAACTCAAAGACTAGTTCATCTGGCTAAAATCAAGGCAAAAAGAAATGCAGGAGAAACAAAACCGCGAGGTTTCCTCTTTTATACATATATGCAAAAAGATACAAGCTCCATTTACAACATACTTGGAAAGTACTATGTACAGAATCAGAAAAGGAAATCTACGTCCCCCTTGGGGACTATGGCCCGTCAGCCTCATCCTCGCTATCCTCGACGTCGGACAAAAGTGACTTGGCTCCACGTTCGTCTGCCCTCGCCCGCTTTACCTCTTTTGAGAGGTCAAAGCCCCTAACATGAATCTCCTCGAGGGTTTCCCTTCGAGACTTACACCGAGCATATTCCTTTCTCCTACCCTCGTGGTCAAGAGTCCTTCTCAGCTCAGCTTGAGCATCGGCAGCGTCCTTCAAATAGACCGCCACTTTCTGGTCAGCCTTAGTTTGGCTCATTACAGCTTTAGCCCGGGCATCCACAACCTCGGCCTTTATCTTCAAAAGCTCAGACTCGAGCTTCGTAATCATATTTGTTCGAACCAAGCTATAATCATGAGCTAAGCGAAGTTGAACCTCAAAGGCGGAGGTATTAGCCAGAGCACCCTTCTCCGCCGAAGCCTGAGTGTCCGCCTGAGCCTTTAACTCATCATACTCGCGCTTGGCTTGGCCAACTTCGCTCCGAAGGTGCTCCAGGTCCTCCATCTTTTTCTACAATTGAAATAAATGAAACATGAGCCTCAGGATATAGAATAAGGAACACACACTCCCTCGGAACAAAAACTACATA